TTCAGCAGGTGCGACGGCCTGAGAATCGAACCCAAACCCGCTGCCCGTCCATCCACAGACCACAGGTCACTAAGCAGGCGCCTAGAGCACCCAGCGTTCCAAACCCACGGCCCTGACTGGGGCTTCTGACTCTGCGACAGTGGTGGTGGAGGGTCAGGGCCACTGCCAACGTTTTCAAATGCCTGGTGGGAATCACGCCTTCCATGCCCTCAGCGAAGGTGGTCCGACCGCAGCCTATTAAATGACTGTCTTTGTTTGGGGCGATTACCGTATCAAATTAGTGCGATATAATTAGCCACTCTGATACATGTTCGATTCGTAAGAAATAGAAAAATTAATTTAGGGTTCTTTTTAGCTAAAATAACTTCAAAACGCGGTGGGATGGGTGCAGCAGGAAGACAGGAAACAATGTTGTGATCATCTTTGGGGCTCGCGGCCTCTTCGGCATCGCCCTGCAGTTCCCCGACAGCCTGTTTCTTGCCCCAGCTAAAACCTGGGTTCCCTCCCTGTGGCCAGAGGCCCCCACCGCCCTCAGGGGTGCGAGGCTGAGTTGCTGTGCTGGGGGCACCTGGTGTCCCCGGGTGGGGTGGCAGGGTCCACGGCCGACAGCAGGTTGCTCTCCAGCAGATGCAGGAAGGGTCCGACTGTCATCTGGAGGCCTTCCCTGTGGCAAAGAAACAGCGCTGAAGCGCCGGGGTTACTCGGCCGGCGGGGCGGCCGGCGGGTTCTGCCCCCAGGACCTCACGAGCCCAGTCAGACGAGCGGGAGACGGGAAACGGTGCTGCCACAGGGCGGAGGGCGGAGGGCTGAGGGCTCCCTGTGCACAGACTTCCAACAAGAGCTCCGGGCCAGACCCGGACGCACGCGTCGGAGACGGGAGGGCGAGCGAGGAGGGAACCAGGGAAAGTCAGGGTGAGCACTAGGCCTCGGGGGTTAAGGAACAGAGCAGGGAAGGGCAGGGCCTAATGATCTCCCTGGCTTCCAGAAGGCTGTAGGAAAGCGAGCCGAAGCAGCAACGTCCTAAACTCTGCTTCCCGGTGCAGCCGCCTCCTTTGGAGGATGGACCGGAAGGGCCTTTCTCGTTTATATACTTGGTTTCACAGGAGTCCGGCGGCGGTGGTGCCCGCCCAGCTGGCTGTGGCTCCACCACTGTCATCCTCGGCCCGGTCGCCTTGCGATGACAAGGTGGCTCCTGCGACTCAACGCGTGTGGTCCCACAGTAGTGGACAAAGCAGGCAGACGGGGGCCAGTAAGCTTTCCCGGACTGTTCCTCTACTTCCCTATCAAGTTGCCCATGCTGAGTGCAAGCTGGATGGTCTTAACCAATGAGAAAAAGGCGTTTTATTGCCATTTCATAAGAGAGAAACTCTCCGTTCTGAGAGTCAGAAAGCAGGCCTTTTAAAAACGGAGTCCTAAGTACCAGCAATACAGAGAAAACACGGGGTCAGGAGACGATCTGGTCCCAGGCCCACTCTGCCGCTTGCTAGCTGAGCCGAGGACGGTCCCACGTCCCTCAGGCCCAGCGTCTTCATCTGTAAAGCCAGGACTCGGACCCTCTCAGGAATAATGACACCCACCTCACGACGAGCACGTGAAAGTGCTTTCTACATTGTTACGAATAAAGTGAGGAATTATTCTTTCCCCTGATCCTCCCACCCAAATCCTTTGAAACTTACAGCAAGAAGTCAGTGACTAAGAGAAAGCCAGTCGAGGGCTGGCTCCTGTGTGACAGTGAACGGAAGCACTAGGTCGCCAGTCCCAGGCCGGAAGTGGAGGAGCCAGGGCCGAGCCCACTCAGTGGGCCGGCAGAATGGGGCCATTTTGGCCAATGCGCACACAGAGGTGCCGGCCGGCAGGTGAGCGGCCTGACAACCCTCCGGCCCCACACACGGGGAGGCCTGACCCAGCGAGCCTTCACGCCAGCGGCGGGGGGCCCCTCACCTGTCTCCATTCTGCACGTACAAGGCCACGTCCACAGCCCGCTGTTCAATCACCCGTGCAAAGTGCTCCAGCATGGGGCAGCTCAGGAGGCCGTGCACCTGCAAGGGCCACAGGTAGAGTTTTAGGAGGAGGCGGGGCCTGGCCGCTCCCAGGGAGGCTTCGCGGCTCAGAAAGCTCTGTCTCCGGCAGCTGTTCCCAGCGGTCTGAAGGCCCAGGGAAAAAACCTTTTCCTCTCTTTCTGATGGCTCCCCATCCGCTCCAAAAAATAAGTGAACAAACCTGTATTTTTAAAACTGTTTAAAAAAAAAAATGGTAACTAAAATACAAGGCAAGGAATTTCTAAACCCCTCTTTGGCCTTCATTTTCCCCAAAATGATATCTAAAAAGCATGGCATATAAATACTTCATACGAACTCTTGTCTTATAACCTTCAATCTATTTGACTCATAAGCCTGTGGTACGTCTGCCTCAGGGGACGCTCATCCTCCCACGAGGAGCGGGGATCCGGGCCACACCGCTGTGGGGGTCTGACTCCCCGGAGCAGCATTTCCCACGCTGCGGTCTTCAGTATTTATCAGACTATCTGTGCTCCTCACCGAGTGAGGGGTCCCCCTTGCTCGTTCCTCCAAACCAGGAGGCCTCCACCCCGCTCCAATCCAGAGGCAGCCCAGCCAGCGACCCGCCCAGGCTCCGCCCGCCGGGGCCCCAGGAGGGCGGCTCAAGCACCTGTTCGGCAGCCATGTTGTCAAAGAGAAGGCGGAAGTCCACTCCATCGCCACTGGCAATGCCCATCCCCTCTCTGACCTTTTTCAAATCCTCCGAGATTCCTGGCTGCAGAGAGGCGGTCTGGGTCCGGCTTCTGCCAAAAAATAAAAAGTAATCCCTCATACTGTGTAGCGATTAACGGTTTACAAAGTATATCTCAGCCATCGTTTGGGATCTCATTCAATCCTCAACGACTCGTCGGGGTTAGCTGGCATTCTTCCTATATTGCAGGTGAGTAAACTAAGGCTCTGAGAGGACAAATGACTTGTAAAATAAGTTAGCAAGTACCAGGATGAGAATAAAAGCCTGGCTTTTCCAAATCCCACACTAGCATTTTATTACACCAAAAACGACGCGAGCGCGGCCCAGGTCTGCTTGGAAAGAGCTTTCTTTTCCTTCTGTGGAACGCACACGGCATCGTCTTCGTGCAATTCAGAAACACCTGAACACTGGGAAGTGCCACCAGCCCAACCAACCTATCGTACAGGGCCACACGCTGCTAAGAGACAGGAAGTCTGTCTTCTGCTTGCCCATCTGATTTGCAGTTCGATGACTCGCTCAGTCGTGTGTTACTTAACCTGTCCGTCTCTTCACCTGCCCCATCCGAGAGCTCAAGACTGGTGATAGGTAACACTTGGGAAACTGATGGCCGTATACACCATCATCTATCTCTCCAGCCCGGCGCGTGGCTTTTCCCATCTTCCTGTCCCTTCACTGTGGGTCTGCCACCGTGAGCATGAGCTGCTTCATTTCCTGGACAGTGATGCTGTCCCTGAGTGTTACACAGCCCCTCCGATCCCGTATCCGCCAGCATGGAAAAGGCTGTCTGCTCCCCACGGGTGAGCAAGAACCCGGGGCAGTTACCTGGTTCTTTCTCTCAGGTTCCAGCAGTTCTGGTAGTTGGGGTACAAGACTTCAGAGCTGGCTTCGTCGGTGTAGATGGTGATGGGTCCTGGAAGGAAAGTGGGAGCACAGGCAGGAAGAGGCGTCAACTTGCTCTCGCCAGCACCTCCTCCCCCTCCCTCTTCTGTCTGCTCAGATGGAGCTGCTCCAGGAGGCAGATCATCAAGGTCACGTAAGGACTGCCAATGTCTTTGATATGCCCCGGCCCTGCCAACGGGAGCTCGTCTGTGGTCTGGGCAATGGCGAGCCTTGCTGTCTGGCACAACCCCTCCTACTGTGCCACACGTGGGCTAAAGCGGGCGCAGGCCTGGCCCAGGCTGGCACTTTCCTGGCTCATCCCAAACAGCCTGCCTCAGGGCACTCCCCACGCTTGGGCTTCACCATGAAGGAAGGCCTATCGCCGGCTTTATCAGAACCGGGTGAATTTCTTGCTTCCCCAAGTCCAATCCCATAGGCCAGCATGGTGACTTATCACATGACAACGTAAGAAAGGTGACCATCAGGCCAGAAACACTCTCCGACCCCACAGCCTCGCCCAGCATGGAAACCAGACTTGCAGATGGACTGCAGGAAGCAAACATCAGAGCACACACAATGTTTCTTTTGCTCGGAGCTCACAAGTACCTTTGCCCCCAGTGATGCCCAAAGGTGCCCTACCACCGTCCATGCTGTGCTCTGTGCAGAGAGGCCAGAACCTGTGGGGGCTCCCCCAACTCCACGACTCAAGCCTGACCTTCCCTGAAGGCAAAAGGAACGGCTCCCCTCGGCAGCTCTCTGGAACTCGCTGAGGTCGATCGTGACGTGAGCAGGTGAATCTAAGCCCCAAAGAGCTATTATTCCCAAACTGTTGATAGTCAAAACCCCAGGACTTTAAAAGTAGCCTATGGTAACTCGACTACAATGTCAGAATTCAGACACACTTCCCTGGTCAAACGACCAAGGTCCTCTCCAGACGTGCACGTCCTCTGAGAAGCAGCAGAACACAAAGGTGAGGGGTGTGGGTTTTGAAACAAGACGGCCCGGGTTTGAATCCCAGTGCCACCGTTTACCAGCTTAGTGTCTTTGGGAAAGTCACTAAGCCTCTCTGTGCCTTTGTTCTCTATCTGTAAATTGGCGATGTTACCCATCTCACAGGGTTATTACAAGAATTAAACAAGTTAATATATGCAAAGCCCTTAGAATAAGGTTTGCTGCACAGCAAGTCCTTTACGTGTTAGAATAATAACAACTACAGTTTAAACTAACGTAATACAGGATAATCCCTATCTGGTCCAACATTGGTGTCTGGATATCAGATGTACAGTTTACGACCAGTAGGGCACACCTCAGGCACGAATTCATGCTGAACGACCAACTGATCACGTGGCGCCGGCCAGCACCCACCAGTTTCTCTACGGCCTACTCACAACCCTCTGGGACTCCTCGAGGACTTGAGCCTGAAACAAGATCCCAAAGTAACACCTCGTAGGGTTCTTTGGCCTATTCAGGTCCCTTGATAAAGGGCAAGGTATGGAAGTCTCTGTGACAGACGTCCAGTTGGAGTCCCAGGAAGTCTGGGTCCCCCTGCAGGGAGAGGCTACCCAGGCAGCCACCCCAGAGGCTGGCGATGACTCTGCTTCCTTCCCTGCCCCGGAAAGCTGGCACAGCCTCAGTCTGAGAGCCGCCTGCAGACCAGGCTGCCGCCGAGAAACACCTTTCCTACTTCAGCCATACTTTGTGTTTCTGAGAGGAGGATCTGCCTTTTAGAAGCTGAGCAAGTGAAGGGCTTTCAGGAGGCCAGGTGGTATGGACTGACCGTTCCGAAGCTTGGGGCCCCAGGGAAGTAAAGGGCAGCCCGTCCTGTCTGCTGTGTGTGACTCAGACACAGCAGCAGTCAGCAGCCGACTGCGGCCAGAACCGACAGCACTACCCAACCCAGCTGGGGACGAGGCCAGCCGCCTCTGGCCTGGAGGTTTCTATCATTTCACATATCTTTTTTAAAAGCCTGACGGAAATGTTCTATCTATTTGAGATACTGCTAAAGAAGTCAAACCAAATGACAAGAACCTTTGTCTTAGGGCACCATTTTAGTATTTTAACACTGGGGAGGTCATGATGATCTGAAACTCAGACCAGCAATTTAACGTAAATTGAATGCAGCTTCATTTGATAGTCAAAGACCCTCGCTACATGGGATCCACAAATAATAAATGTGGTCCTCAGCGGTCCTAGCAGCCATCGTTCGCTGGATGAATTTGCCAAAACCCAGACCCGATAGACTTTCTCAACAAAGAAAGGCTGAACCAAAGCCAGTGATGCCGCCTGGGTCTGACTGTGGGTCCTCACCAAGGCCAGAGCCGTCGCGGGAGGCCTGGGTCCCAGCCAAGTGTCCCTCCTGCCCTCCTTTTCAGCAGTGTCTCACCTAAGCAAACAGCTGCCAGTGCTGTTCACAAGACCTGGCTAGGGATGCCTCACGCGGCTTGTGCAGAAGCGTTAGAGGCGGGGTCAGGAGACAGGCCCATCGGAGCAGCTGAGGCATCATCGCTGCAGCCGCGGCCGGAGGTCGGACCGGGAGAAGGCCCGACGGGAAGGGATCATCATGCCAGGGAAGCCACGTGTGCGGGAGAGGGACCAGGGGAAGAGGCACCACGGAAGAGAGAGACGGGGGCTTTGCAACTAAGAAGGAAAACTTCCTTGGGGACAGGGGCTGACTTGTAGACTTCAGACTCGAACCTTCTTTCTGATACCGGAAAAGCCCAGCCAGCAAACACCGGGTAGACTCCAGATTCCGATAGATGTTAGTGGAACGAACACTGGAACAAAGCAAAAAGGCAGACACTCAAAAAAGGAAGAGTTAATTACACACGATCTACTTTACTCTACAGAGCAGCTGGGAGGCTTTCGAGAGCACATCAGGGGCCCCATGGTGCTGGGCAGAATCCTTCATCTCTCAGTGGGAAGGCTGTCCCAAGGACCCCGGAAGCCAGTGCCTGTGACCTCCAGTGACCAGCTGTTCACAGGATCCTATTTTCTACCGGTAACTGCCCCAAACTACCTTACTCAACAGTGAGGACATCTGGGGGGTCTGGACTGGTTTCCTCTTGCTCAGGACCCTTACACTGGGTGCGACGCGTCTTTTCCCAGTGACTCACAAGACCTCCTGAGGGTCGAAGGTGGGCGAAAGGAAGGGCACGTCCTCCACATAGTTCTTCCTCAGCCTCTCTCCCAGGGCAAACATCTGCGACATGCCCACACTGGTCAGCTGTCCGGCAAACATGCCCCCCTGAGGCGGGGCAGAAAGAGAGAGAGAAGAATGAAAACACCACAGCCTGCTAAGCCCAGCCCAGAGAAAACCCTCGAAGCTTTGCGGAGGGCTTCTCAGAGCACGGAGCGTCGCTCACCTTCAGTACGGTCTCACGGTATGCAGAGTCGAAAGGAGAATAAGGTTGCGGGCCCCCAGCGAGACTGGTGACCGTGTAATCGAAGCGAGTTTGCGGGGGGACCTCCAACAGCCGGGGATTCCACTCCACCTGCTAGGACCAAAAACACAACCCACTGGTGGAAACTTAGAACGTTCATATCCAACGGCCGGAATTACCCCGACGTGAAAGCCGCAGCCCCGCCCTGGGGAGCGAGGAAGGGAACTTTGGATCTAGCTCCAAGGCAGGGAAGAAAAGACCAGATGTATCATTCCAGGTGTCCTCAGCCCACGTCCGGCCATGGTGACACTCGTACTCACTGTCAAGAGGCTGCTCTGGCCCTAAGCCCAGACTGAAGTAAAGGAGAGAAGTGGCCAGAATGCCTGGCATGAAAAACGTGGTGAATGAAAGAGCAGACAGAATAAACAGAATCACATCTCGGTGACCGCAGACTTGCAAGAATTTTCAAGGAATCAACGTGCAGGTGTCTACAGCCGTCCCTAAGGACTGTGCTTAACATCCTTTGCGGCCACCTTTCCTTCATCCAGCTTCTCCGACAAGTAGCTACTTATCAAGAAACCTTCATTTCTTCACCATCTTCCTTGACTCCTTGCAATCTGGCTCCTGCCCCAACCATACCCTTTCGGTTTGGCAAACGTCACAAGCAGCTACAGGTCTCGTAGCTCCGAGAGCCCAGGAGACTTTTACGCGCGCTGAGTCAGGTGCGATGACTTTAACTTTCAAAATAAAAGTCTTTTCTTCTAATCCCATACACCGACTCCTCTTCCCAACTTACTATTTTCTCTCTCAATGCTCCCAGAATTCTCCTAGGCCCCAACTCAACCCCCCGCCTCTCCCTACGGCTCCCCTATCCCTGCGCCAAACCCCCATCCATCAGTGTGTTGGTCGCTGGCTAAATACGGTTACTCTAGTGGCTCTTATCTTACAGTCAGGTCAGAGCAGAAAACCTTATTACCTCAGACTCGAGCCTGGGACAGACTCCCACAGTCCACACATGCATAAGCACCTCACCGAGCGACTTTCATCTCATCGATAGCGTTCCCCAATATTTCGAGACGTAAGCACGTGGCCTTCCAGGACTTCTGCACATCGGCCCAGCCTCGTCCCCCAGCTGAGCTGCCCCTCCGCCTGTCTGCCCAGACCGGGCCCAGCGCTTCCTCTGCACCTTCTCAGCTTGCTCTCTGCCCATCCGACGTCTCTCCAAGGGTCAATGCCACTCGGGTCCTACCTGGCCATCAGTGACTACTGCAGCTTTCATGCGGTCTTCTACTACTACTTCATTTTGTTTTAAAACATTTGAAAACCTACCACGTCACATACAATCGGGTTTACTTTGCCCCCTCCCAGAAATATCCCAGGAAAGTGTCACTGGGCGTCTCAGGTGCTCTTCGTATAGAGGAAGCTCTCCATTCTTCCGAAAGCTGTGGTCTCCGTCCCACCTGCACGCAGCCCCCAACACCTGAGCCTCTTGCCCAGCTGGTGCTGCAACAACAGATAGCAGAAGACCGAGTGTGTAGCGCGGAGACCTTCTCCCTCCTCCCTTTCAATCACTGCTCCCTCTTTCAAGGTCTGAGCCCATAACTTCCCTACAAAAAAACCCCGCAAGGGCTCACAGCTGCACGAGGCCCCTGCCCCTCACACTTACTCTCTAGCCACCCAGCTTTGTTTCCCATGGCGCCATGGCACCTCCTGGCCTGTCCACTTCCTGTTTCTTCTGCCTGGAATTTTCCTTTCTCTTTCATCTGGAAAGACTTCTGCTCATTCCGCAGGACAGGTTAAATTTCCCAGAAGCCACGGCCATGGCCCCCAGGCTCTCACAGCAGCTCCATGGCTCTTTTTGGTGACCTGTATCCAACTGTCTGAGAACAGCTCCTTGACCAGTCTGTCCGGCTCAGTCGACTTAGCTTCTTGAGAACAGAGACTGGGTTATCTGTTGTCCTCTGTACTTTGGATGCCCGACAAAGCGCCTGGCACACAGTACAACTGACAAGAGCTCCAGCGATTTGCCAGATCCTGTGGAAGATCCCAAGCTTGAGAGAACAAGACTCTGTCTTTTCTGGATTTTCCATTTTAACAGAGATGGCAAGCTATGAATGTAGACAGCGGTAACTACAAGAACCCGGATGAAGACCTCACTAGTTCAAAGGCAAGACAGACCCCTCCTCTTCTAGCTTGGGATTCAGGAAAAGTTTCACGGAGGGAAAGACATTCGAAATGAACAGGACTTAGACAAGCAAAGACTTGGACTTGAGAGTGAGGAGGAGGCGAGAAGAGAGGGTGGTGCCGGGAATTTCCAGACGAGGCGGGAAGCCGGAGCCGAGCAGAGATGGGGAAGAACGCACAGAGAGGAAAGAAGCAGGCTGGTCTGCCTCCACCCGGAAGGGGTTTTCAAACTTTTTACTTAGCAAACGCTGAGTAGGGTTTCACTTTAGATTGGTCTATTTACAGGCAAAAACTAGAATTTCTCTGTTTGAAGTAAGAGCGGGAACCCAGACCCTCGGCCACTCAGCAGCCCTCTAACCCACAGGCTCCACGGAATGGTCTGAGAGCCAGCAGAATGGATCACACCTGGAATGGGAGACCAGATACAGAAAAGGCAAATTCGAGATGTCTGCCATGCAGCGACGAGAGCCTAAGGCCTCACGTAAGGCAGGGGGAATAGAAATGTGGGTATAAGACACTGGAGTCGAGCTTGGCAAGTGACTAAATAAAAGCTTTATGTAAGGTTCGCAGGTAAACAAGGAAGCATACAGAAAAAAATTACTTTGATTTTGATCCTGAGTGTCTGAGGTGACAAGGGCCATGGAGGTACTCTTTGACAAAAATGGAAGACCAAGACAGGAAGACAGGACAGGTGAGCAGCTGAGCTCAGTTTGGGGCATTTTAAATTTGAGACCCTTCCTTTGCGTGCCCAGCTCTACTAGCATATTTCCGTAACTGGAATCTGTTTTGTCTTTCTTCTTCATCAGGATGCAATCTCCTTTACGGCCAAGACTGAATTATCCATCCTTCTAAGCCCAGTGTCTAGCGGGGGTCCCGTCACCAGGTCCCCGGGTCTATGTGGCCTCACTAAGGCATCTCCTGCTGCTAGGCACAGTCACCGACGGAGGCTCATTGGTGTTTCCCGGGAATGACTTCTGCAAGTCTAGGTCAAGTCTAGAGCACACATTTTCAGATTTTCAAGAAGGGACGGCACATCGGTGTCATACATGGTGTCTGCCTCTCATGCACACTCATCCTTGTTCCTGAGTTAGTGGCAGAGCTAACTAACTTTATAATTTTACTTAATTATTTGTACCCCATTTTCAGGAACCAACTTAAAGTAGGTGACAGAAAAACCTAAAATATAGTAAGACGGCCAATTCGAAGCACACAAGAAAGCAAACGAGTATAGAGACAAAAAAAAAAAAAGGATGCAGTGAAAAGTCACGCAAAAACGCACACCATGACAATCCGTACACTTGTAGGAGGGCTGAGATTCGGCGCCGAGCTTTCTGGCTTTTTGTACAAGGAGAAACTAGATCAGCTGGACTAGCGTGAAGATCAGAGCAAGCCAAACTGTAGAGGAGAAGCATATCGTTCTTGCTAACAGACAAATCCTTCCCAAGGGCCACTTAAGTCAGAATCTCTGGGAGAGAACCCGGGCATCAGTATTTTTTTTAAAGCTCCCCAGCTGAGTCCAATATCCCACCACGCTTAAGAAACACTGCTTCACAGGAATGAATAAACTGACTGGCAGGCACATCCTTCATGTAACGTCTCCTGAAAACCCTTCTCTTAGCTGGGCTTCGGGTAGGTATTAAGCAACGATGAGACTGGCATTATGCTTCCCAGTTCACTTACATTATCAGATAAATAGGGGCCCCAATGCCTTAATCAACAGGGGGACTGAGATACGAAGGACTTTATAAAACCTGAGGCCCTGCCTGAATTGGAGACCATCCTGCCACTGTATGGAGGGAGCTGAGGGAAATCCAAAAGCAGGACCAAATCTGTCTTTTGAATGTGTACTTGGGATCTAATCTAACGGCCAGAAAAAACGGCCAATCGAGTCCCTGAATTTTATTTCCAGAGCACAGCTAAAGGGAAAAAAGTTGTCAACAGCCATTCAAGCCGTAAGAAAACAACTCAACTAAACATCTAGTTTTACACGATGCTACTTTCTGAGGATTTGTGAGCTCACTGAATGAGATGACTCATCATAGGTTTATTTATAAACCAGTCAGAAGTCTGGCAACATCTACCAAAGGCAATTTTAGTTTTAGAATTGTTGCCAGGTAGTCCCTTCTGACTATAATTAATAGCAGAGCCAGGCAGACTAGCAATCCCAACAACAACCTCTGTCAAATTGAATCTTTAAAAGAAAACCCGAGAGAAGAACTCCAGAAAACAGTCACAGCGGGCCGATGACAGTGGCTCGCAGCCTAAATTTAAAGAGAGCTGGTTCCACCTCCAGCTTTTATGCAGAAGATTTTATGCGAGATAACCAAAGACGTTTAATGCATCTGCCTAAAGTCTGGAGAATGTGAGCAGGCAGGAGCGGTAATGTACCCTCCCTAACTGCAAAGCAAGGCCACAGACTCAGATGTTCCATATTTTAAGGCTACACAGACAGAAGACAAATGAAGCTGGCATTCTACCTGAGCTACAACTGCCCCTTCCAAAATAAAGGCAGATGATACCCATCATATACCCAGTGGCTCAGCAGAAGGCTTGAAAAGAATCGATCTTTTTCAGGCCCTCCAGGGACTATATCTACTGTACACATTAAGTCTAGGCTTAGACACTCAGACTTTTATTCTGTTAGCACTGGTAACTTGGGCTTTAACATAAGTCTTCTATTCCTTATTTCTCAGCTTTTCTGTAACAAGAATATGGGGTGGGGGTGCACAGAGACGGAAATCATAAGGAATCACCAAATCATAAGGATACTATAGTGACCTAATATAAAGAGGCAAAGTAAGGGACTAAAAATAGATCGAAGCAGAAGGAAGGAGGGAGGGAAGAGAGACAGAGAAAGAAAAGAAATTCCAGCACCGGAAAGTGGTATAGCCATATAGAAAGGCTAACTAGAAATCTGGTAATAGAATTATGGGCCACCCAAGACTTATTAATGTGGGAAGTGCTTTCAACGTTTGATTTCACGTGTGGCCAGCTTTAAAAACTGGATTTTCAGTTGTACAAAGCCCTTTTTCTAGAAAGTTTCTAGAAAGCAACTATGATCGTGAAGAGTACACCTGATACCAGGTTTAGACATTCCGTTGAGCCTGCGCCAATGTTAACATAAAAAAAACTAACAATGCAAAAACCACAGGTATAAGTATGACAACGGGGGTGGAGGATTTCCAGTTGCCTAAGGCCCACCTGTGTGAGAGGTTAGAGATCTCCACTGGCTCTCTCCAAGAAATAAAACCATGAACGGTAAACATTTAGAACAGGGGTCCCCAACCCCAGGGCTGTGGACTAGTACTGGTCTGTAGCCTGTTAGGAACTGGACTGCAGAACAGGAGGTGAGCGGTCCTGCAGCCGCTCCCCAGCGCTAGCATCACCACCTCGGCTCTGCCTCAGATCATCAGGTATTAGATTCTCATAGGAGCGCTGGTTCCTGGTGCCAAAAAGGTTGGGGATCGCTGATTTAGAAAACTAATTATTTGCACTCTAATCATAACTTTCCTGACTAAATCAGGTAGATTTTAAGACAGTATGGCCACAAGACAAGTCAATTAAAATTTTGTTTCCTACCTCAAATCTCTTCCACAATCGGTTCGGAAACCCTAACTAGAAAAGATGAGCCCCAAGATAGAGCGCTTGTTACCAAAAAGCCTTCAAGGGATCTCAAACGGTCTCCCCGCAAACCCTTAGAGGAAGCTGCTGTAAAATCTGTTCCCAAATCACTGACTTTTGTTATCCACTTTGGGATCCACTTTGATCCCAGTTGGGGTGGTTCCTGTCATAAGAGTCGCTGCAACTCTTGGACAACTTTTCGCAACTGCCGCACAGAAATGCACTCCACCTTTGCATTCGAGGTCACCATATATCTGTTAGAAATGCAGAATCTCAGGCCCTACCCCACCCCTTCTGAATCAGAATCTGCATTTTAACGAGACCCCTAGGCGAGTTATATGCACCAGAAGTAGCCAGCACTACCAGCTGTGCTACGCCGCAGCCATCGCCCGCGCCGCTGAAAGTTCTGGGGCTGCCCTGAACCCGCGAGATCGGAGGGGGATGAGAGGCACAGGGCTCCAAGGCCAGCACCCTTGCTCAAGAGCTGGGGAAGGAACTGGAGACTCCTGTTTGCCTTCCGTCTGGACCCAGCCCCAACCCAGCTCCATCATGAGTGTTCGGGGCGAGGCCTGACTCAGCCTGGGCCAATCTCTCACCTGCTCCTGCTGCGGAAGAGGCTTAAGAGGGCTCCGCGCCCCGTGTCGAAACACGACCTGCACCATTTTCAGTTTTAATAGGTTCCGGTCGACGGGCGGCTGCTGGCCGTCCGCCGCCCGCGGGTGGGCCAGGGCCAGCCTCCGCTGCTGGAGATAGTACCCCAGGGAGGCCAGGACGCCCAGCGGGGCCCACAGGCGCGCCCCGAAGGCGCGGGCGATCATGGCGGGGGCCCCTCGGCTGCCCCCTCCGGGCGGGACGGCTGCACCGGGCGAGCACGAGCCCTCCGCGGACGCCGGGGCTCAGCGGGGACCGGCAGGCGCGCACCTCCACACCCCCGGGCTGGGACCGCTGAGGGGAACCCCGACTGCGAGCGTCGGTGAAGAGGCGGTAGGAGCGGCGACTTCCCGCGGTCAGGATTGGCCGCTCCGGCCGCAGACGGGGCCGCCCTTTAGACCCTTATCCTTAAGGAACTAAAATGAGGGGAGGAAAGTTGGGAGAAACGCATCTAGGGAACCCCAAACTTGTATTCCAAGTTTGGCCCCCGAGTTTGGCCTTTGGGCACTGCCGAAGGGAGGGGTACCAGCCCCGAGTTCCTCGGCGGCGCTGACCCCACCAACACAGACCACCGGATCCCACTTTTCTATAAGCAAACACTCTCACCCACTGCCTCAGGCACCCAGGGACTTGCCCCAAGTGGACCCGTCCCCAAGTGGACCCGCGCAGAGGAGCATGGGAAGACGAGTCCCGCGGCGACGCCTGCTCCGAGGCGGAGCTGTGAGAACTACAACTCCCACAAGGCCGCGCGCGGTGGCATCGCACCTAGAGGCGCGGCTCAGCCCCAGCCGGTGCGAGTCTCCGGGGCTTGGTGGCTAGTGCAGTGGGAATGAGTCCGCGAGGGTGCCAGGCGGGACAGTGTAGGAAGCGTGAGGACAGGGGTAGAAATGGCTGGCGAAGGGCAGTAAGTTTGAGACTAGGACGGGCGGTCTTCTCTGAAGTCCTGGAAGCCGGAGTTGCTGAAGCTCAGAGCCAAGACATCTATTTACTGAGTGATTGATTAGCCATGTGCAAAGGGCAGCGCTAGGTGCTTTGCATTTAATCTTCATTTACTGTCCACCCCTCTCTGTTTAAAGAGGCGTACATCGTGGCAAACGTGTAGAACTTTGAGCTCACTGATGTGTTTATTTACCCAGAATGTTTCCTGCAGAAAAATCAAGGCCTTGTCTGCAAGTGTCCCCGGTGACTAAGCACTTTAATTTACAAAAAAAATGCCAACCCGAACCACCTGCTGATCTGTTTCTCTTTCATATACAGCCACCCCAAGCCTGTGTTCCAATTCTTGGCAACAGGACACAGTGGAACCATTTGTGTCCATGTCCAGGCAAAGGTCAAGTTGAGCGGGGAGACATTTGTGTGAGCCCGAATATATGAAGTAATAATCAGTTCTTTTGTCATCCTAAATTCTGTCTTTGGATCAAACTGGATCAGATGTGAAGGTAACATACTTGTTACGGAGTATGGCTTCTGCCTGACTCCAAACAGGTTCATCAAGCTAGAAGGTTCTGAACACCCTGCTGTGGGGGAAGGGCCATTTTGGAACACTGCACACTGTCCAGTTTTCCCCCTGGCCTAGAACTCACTTTTCAGAGCCTTATTGTGTGCCCTGGTGTGATGAAAAACAGAAAGTGTTTTCCCATAGCCGACGTAAGGCATCGGGAGCACCAGACAACCCCGCCGTTACATTCGGGTTGGGGACAGCTGTTCTCAACGGTTCAGTGAAAACGTGCTACAGCTTTAGTGCGGGAGGCCCTGTGTTTGAGCAGCTTCAGCATCCCTGACAGTCTTACCACATCAGAAACCCTTCAACGCAATGGAATGAGGCATCCGGAAACCAAGACCTCCTGCATAAGGGGCAGGCCACCCCAGTCCACACCCTGCATTCTGTCAGATGAGCGGCACCTTCGACCTGCGTGAGCAATAGCAGAGGCTCGCCCTGCGGGCCCACACGTGTGGCTGAGGGTGAGGGGGGCGGTGCTGGGCGGTTCTCAGTAGATCTCTGCAGGAAGCCAGAGCAGGCTAGGTTGCATGACAGATTCCTGTGATAGTCGAAAGCACCATTTGTCAGCATATGTGAGGGAACTCCTGGGGAGTCCTGCCAATACTTCGAGTGTGATGTGTGGTGGTGCTGGGGCGGCGGTAAGCTGCAGAGAGACTTTTTAAAAGAGAGGCTAGACATCTTGACATCGTGCTCCGGGGAAGGCTCCAGAGTTGGGGGTCAGGACTGTTATTTTAACCCTGGTTTTACCACAAGTCAGGGCTCGCTTGAGAAATAAGCCCTCCCACCGAATCGTCTTCAGAGGGTTGCATTTAATATCATGCCGAAACGAAACTCGGTTTCAACCATGAGATCAGATGAGAAACGACCACATTCACTTTTTCTCTCCACAGTGAGCACAGTGCCTGGCTCATACTAGGTGCTCCATAAATGCTTGCTGAATGAAATTTTAGGATTTATCGTGGAATATTGTCGAGGACATTGTCTGTTACATCCCTTGTTGCTCCCTATATAAATCTCCTGAGAAATTTGTTTTGGACCAAAGTGTTAGCATTAGAACAAGCGTTAAAAAGTATAAGGGTTCCTCTTCCTTCCTTTTTGCCTTGGTTGACAGGAAGCCGGGAGTCCAAACTTAAGCGACAGCAAATATCTAGAACCTAATGGCCAGTATAACCGTGATCTTCTCCTCTAGGGTGTCACCCTGGATTGGAAGGCAGCAAAACTGGAGAGGAGGTCAGGAGGCTGTCGCAGCATTCCAGGTGTGAAAGCTTCAGAAGGGAGACTTAACAATGGTGAGAGGGAGGAAGAGAAGTTCCTGGCCTGGGAAGCTCGTGCAGGGGATGCCGTTGACCTGGAAGAAGGTTGAGCAGAAGTTAGCAAGTTAATTTTGGATTTGTGCATTATGAGATACCTGTGAGACATCTAAGTAGAAACACCCTCTAGACAATTGATTGTGTGGGTCTAGAGCTCAGAATAACTTTGGACCAGGAATGCATACACGGGACCCCTCTGCGTGTCATTATTAATTGAAACAATATGAGTGGATTAGAGTCCCAGGATGAGTGGGAAGAGAAAAAGAGGGGGCTCTGTTCGGATTCTGAGGAACCCTACTATTTAAGGGAAAGGCAGAGAAAGAGAGGCCTGAGAAGGAGTGGCCAGGAGATAGGAAAAAAAAAAAAAAAAGACAGGTGTCAAGGAAGCCAAGAGAAGAAGCGTTTTAAAAAGAAAAGAGTGGACGACAGCGTCAAAGGGAACTGAGGGGTCGATGGTGACCGAGTGTCCACTGGACTTGACAACAAAGTAATCGTTGGTCGCTTTAGCGGGGGCAGTTTCCGTGACATAGGGGGGTGGAAATTAAATGGAAGTGGGCAGTGAGTGGGAAGTAAGGAAAAGGATGCGTTTTCCATGTTCCCAGGAGAGAAAAAGGAAGAATAGGCACGAGTTACACTTACAGTGAGGGAATCCGAGGATTTCTTTTTCTTTAATGGCTTCTTTTTTCTGCGAAATCGGGGTGGGGGGCGGGGTGCAGGGCTTGATGCTTCTGAAGACTGGCGGGACCTGAGAAAGCGAAAGATCCACGGTGAACGTAAGAGAGTGGGTGATGCGTAGGTGACCGAGGCTTTTCTCCAACTTCATGGTACGTCAGAATCACCTGGAGTTTTGTTAGTTGCAGGTTCCAGAGCCCCCATGTGTCTCATTAGATCTGAGGGGAGCCCAGGACTCTGCATTTTAAACAAGCACCCTAGGTGACTCTGATACAGGACTTCTTCGGATCATGCTTTGAGAGCTACTGATAGAAAGTCAAGGGAGGAATTATTTCAGTATGGGAGAAAGTTGCTCGTGGAGAGGAAACAATTAAGAAGACAAAAAGGGAATATTTGATAAGGCAGAATCCCTAAGAAGGGGGGAGAAAATGAGATGAAAGGAGGAAGGATCAGCCTTGGACAGGAGAAGCATCACCTCTTCGATTAAGATCAGCCTTAGACGGAAGGGCTACGTCGGTCATTAAGGGTCACCTCTTCTGTTAAGATGAGAAAGAAGGAGGCAAAGAGATATATCGAGGCAAGTAGCATTGGTAGTTTCACCTCCAACAAATTATTTCCCCCAGTAGTATCTCCAACAAGCTTAGAAAAGAGAAAAATCATCAATAATAATAATATTGTTCCTATTACGTAATGTTGAGTGCTTACCCTACGCCTGGCATCACGCTAAACCTTTGACATGCAATGCGGCATATTCTTCAGAGTAACTTGAGTCGTACGTAGGTACATCACCATTTCACAGGGAAAGAAACCGAGGTTAGAGAACAAAGAAATAACTTGCCCAAGGATGCGCGGATCTTAAATGGCAGAGCCCATGTAGCCCGAATGGAAAGCCATGTCTGTCTTACATCTGAGCCTACGGTATGAGCCACGGATATTATCCTGCTAACCTTTTATTGGGGAGGTCTTGGTAATCTGTGCGATGTTAAGCATGTATGATACCCCTGTGACATTTGAGACTGAAACTTCATTTTCCCTTCCTGCCTTCTCACGAGTAAGTCTCTTTCTTCCTACCCAACCCCTCGGTCCTGATTGATGGCTTCCTATTTTTTTTTTTTCTTGAGTATTATTTAGGACTCTGTCTGTTGTAAGTGGCAGAAAACTTGACTCAAGCTGTTTTAATAGGAAAAGAGGGTGGGGAGGAATCGAATTAGCCCACATGGTTGAAAACTTCAGAGCCGCCTCAGGTTTAGCTGGTAGAAACTCAGATAACGCTCTATTGGTCTCTGGTTTCTATTGTAGCCTCCAGTTCCACCTCTCACTCTGTGACCTTCATCCTCACATTTTATCTAGTGACTCTTAATCCACCCCCTAGTCACACGGTACCTATAGCCCTTACTTCACCTCTCAGTCTAACTGGAAACAGCTAACAGAGATCCTGCGCCTCAGAAGTGTTTGGCATATTTGGGACACGTGCTTAATTCATTCTGAAACAAATCACTTCCGACCATCCCTGGAGGTGAAGGGTAAATCATCCCACCCCAAAACCACATGAGCTACCAGGGGTGCAGGCAGTTAGTTCTTCAAAGGAGATTCAGAGAACTGGTTTTACTTTTTTAAACAGGAAAAAGGCAGGGGAGGGGTGAGTGGATGAGGGGGAACAACAGCTGTCTTTGGGGCGTTTCTCCCGTCTTTCCTCCCTCATTAATCAACTTCCAATGCGCCTTCTCGGTGACTCATGCTCAAGTTGCTGACCTTTTGGTAGTAGGAGGTGGGCTTGATACTCTCTGCAGCTCTCACACCTCCAGCAGGGTATGTCTATGTCTATACATCTTTGTCACTTCCTTGTTTAAACATCTTTATTGGCCTCTCCCATTGCCCACGGAAAGATGATTTCCTATATCAGCGTTTGATGGTCTGCTACTCCTATACTCCATGCTGTTTTAGAGTCCTAGAACACGGATATTTCTGTTGGCGTGATACTGTCATTTTGGAGTTTAAAAAACCTGAATTATTTGTCTTGAGATATTCTAGAGACATGCTTCCTTCAAATTTTGAGACAGTATAGACGAGCTTGTTTAGAAAGCCATCTTCTATACTTCCATAATCCA